GCACAGCCCTACTCGCTTTAGAGTCATTGGAAATTTTTAGACATTTATGAGATTTGGAAAACCAGAAATCATGTTACCTATATTTGCTATTTACATAAACTATGTTTTATTGATCGTCCAAGTACTCGAAGCACGTCAGCTGGATCCAAATAGCTAATAACAGGAGGCATATTAGTAAGGTTGCACTCAATTCTGTCTCTCTGGATTTTCCTTTTTTCCTGTTGACACTCCTACCAGCATTTCTGGTTTAATGCTAATATAGCCTGGCAGCAATACAGCCACACAGGCAATGGTCAAGAATGCTATGGGACCTGAATGCCTAACATATCTCAGAAAGTCTAGGACTGCAACTAAAAATGCAGCAAATCACTCACAGTAATATAAACCAGCCCCCTAAGTTCTGCTATTAGCTAAAGAAACAGGCAGCCCTATTGGATGGTAGCAATATAGGAAGAAGCCAGAGCTAGGTAGTCCCTTTTAGTGACAATAGCAAGGTCAATTCATACTGTATAAGAAAAGGCTCTCCTTTAATCGAGAAACCCTACAGCCGTGACGGTGAACCGGTGGCACGTGTGCCAGAGGTGGCACACAGAGCCCTCTCTGCTGGCACTCTGATGTCGCCCCCCAGTCAGATCTCCGTGGTGTTTCCTTCATGAGTTTCTGTTTCCCTGCAAACGATGAAACAGAAGCTCACGAAAGAAAAAGATCTTACCTCTTACCATGCTGCTGGTATTTGGGATGCCCAACCTCCCGCCGGCCACATGGTCTACGGGTCTCTGCTGCACATGCACACATACCTGCACATGCCCACATTCATGTGCGCACATCTTTCAGTTTGGGCATGAGTGCACGCAGTTTGGGCACTGGGTGTCTAAAAGGTTTGCCATCACTGCCCTACAGTATAGGTATAGACAACACTATATAGGAGCCCCGGTGATGCAGTGGTTAGAATGCAGATTAAACTCTGCCCCCAGCCTTGAGTTCGATCCTAATGGGCTCAAGGTTGACTCAGCTTTCCATCCTTCTGAGGTTGGACACAGATTGTTGGGTCAATATACTGACATTGTAAACTTCTCAAAGAGTGCTACAGAATACCCTCGGCCAGTATATAAATCTGAGTGCTATTGCTATATAAAGTGACTGCCAATACAGTATTGGATGATGGACCCCTCAGGTCAGACGGCATTCAATAAGATACTGGGGGGTGGGACTGAGATCTTTCAAAATGCCAACAGTATGATGCAGCTAGATTAAAACCTTTGGGATTTCTAGGTGCTGATATTGCCATAGAGGAAAATAAATCTGAAGCTGCAAAGATAGAAACATAATGGAAATATAGAATGTAAGAAGCATGAACACGAGAAAACTCAATATAGTGAAAAATGAACTCATTCTTCTACATATTAGGTATCAATGAATTTAAGCAGACTGGAATTGGGCAGTTTCTGTCAAAAGATTAAACTCGGGACACACAAAGAAGGTGTGACATTGCTTTTAAAGGCAGGGGAGATACAGCAAAGACAGTATAATGGATACAATGCAGTCAATGAACAAACACTATCAGTGGGGCTTTGCAGACAACTTAAGTTATCTAAGTCTACATCACAAGCACTGTAAAAACGCTTAATTTTCTAGTCAAGTGCAATATGAAATTCCCAGAATATGAAAGAATGATGTGCTGCTGGTGAATGCAGCGTGGCACAACAAAGTTGAAAACAGTAAGGAGGACAAGTCCATTATCATCTTTGGTTTTCAATGGGGTTGAATTGCCCTAGACAGACTTGGTGTGTAATCTGAGGATTCTCTTGAATTCATGACTCCCAGATTCACAACTCCTGACTTCATATTGTGCACCAGATACGCCCATTCCTGTACCAATGGGTCAGTAATGGTTTTCTCTTACTTTCGCTACCAGTTCAGAACCAGGAGTGTGTGTGTGTGTGTGTGCAGTCACTTCGCTTGCACGTGGCACTTCTGCATATGCGCAGACCGTCCGTGATGACATATGGGCAGAGCCTCCCGCCATCATTGCTAACGGTTTGCCCAAACTGGGGTGAACCAGCAGAATACCATCTCTGCAATGGGCCCTTTTCACAGTGATCCATGCCCTGGTCATCTCTGTTTGTATTATTGTAATGCACGCTACCTGGGGCTGTCCTTGAAGAGTATCTGGAAGACCCAATTGGCTCAAAACACAGTGGTCTGCATAGTTTTAAACAAGTCAAAATTTGCACGTCAAGTCAATTTGTTTCTGTGTACAATTCAAGCTGCTGATTTTCACCTTTAGAGCCCTACATATCTTGGGGCCAGGTGAGTTGAAGGACTGCCTCTTCCCAGGTACAGGAACTGGAGGGGCAGGTCGGGGACAGATCATTCTGGAGAAGGTCTATTGATCTGATTGTTAAAAGATGACACACAATCAGTTCTAAATCATGCATGCAAAAAGTGCTGACAATTAGCTACACAAGCCTCTTCATGCCATCAAAGTAGGCAAGGGTCAAAAATATGACATTTCTCATAAGTTTTAGAGGGATTTTAAGAGGTTAAATCAGTATTTGGCACACATTTAACCTCTTAAAAACCAAAGGCCTCTCCCAGAAATTTGCATTTGTTTTGGGTCCAGGCTCTGCCTGTTTTTCAAATGTGGCCCTCACTATGCTGTGCAAACATGGTGTCCTTCCAGCCAACAGGCACTGCCAATACTCAAACTTCATATCTAAAAATACAATTGATGTAAATTTCCACTTTCTACTTTTTCCTGTTCTCTGTAAGGAAGAGCAAGCTTAGACAAAGGAGTAGAGTTCTCATGTATATAACAGGAGCATACTTGGAAAGAGTATGAAGATCTGAATTAGTTGTTCTTTGACCTTTTGTTACAACACAAATATTGCAAAGCGAAATCTACTTCCAATGACATCTACTTGTCATTGGCTCAGAGTAAAAGTTCCTGGAAGGGGTGGGGAGGAGGAATAAAATACATATCACCCTTTATTCTTTTACATGCTTTATACACGCAACAGCCTATTATACATGAAACTATATTGATCCAATTTGCTGTATTCAGCATAAATTTCTGAAGAGCACTGACATGACAATATGTATCATCAAACATTAACCCTGCAATTCAGTCTGAATTGGTGCAATCCCATCTGAATTAGTATCTAATCAGTCTAAAATAAATGGTATTCTTCCGGTTCACAGAATTATAATATATATCTACCTATATCTTGCGGCTTCATGATACCGGGTAATCTTTTTCAGTGTTCAATGATTAGCAGAAATACAGAACGTTAAATATATAAAAGTAAAAAGCATGAGAAAATTAAACCTCTAGGGCGACATTAAAAGATACAAGTTTTAGAAAAGGACCATTAAATGATCCCTATTTGTAATTATTTAATTGAAATATATTTTACTTTATCAGTGGTTATAAAACGGTTACCTGTAGCAAGATGGCATTACTGTAAAGTCATATGTTTCTGTGAGATACTATTCTGCAAATTTTTATTTCTATTACCCTTATTCATAATGGTGCCGTAAACTGATTGAGCACTACCCCATGTGCAGATGAAGAAAGAAAATGGACACAAGCTAGTCTAATGTAAAGTATTATTCATTTTCATGAGGATACAATAGCTTTAGTGAATGTCATGATTCATTCGTTAGAAATTGAGAATTCTGCCTGCACAACTGAAAAATCAATGCAAAAACACAAAGTGATCCTTTAGAAAACGAGTTGATTACTCTAAAATTTTAAGGACCCTTCAAATATGTCTGCAACCAGATAGGACTTGACCTGTGTTTACAAAGGGAGATGCTTCCAGCAGTATGTGGGAGACAGCATCCTTCTCTTGCAATCACACTGAGTTGCCTATTTTATATTGCTGCACAGCAGTGTATCATCGGTTTATATTGCTTTATAACTCAGGTTATAAATTGTTTAGAATGTATAAAGGCACTCCAAATTTATAGCGTAATGTGAACAAGAAACATTTCATCATGTTTGTAAGATGTACAAAAAAGCTTGAAAATTCTGGATTCAAATGCATTCACAGATTCAAAGATTAATATACAATTGAGAGCAGAAGTTATTCTTTTGGGATCGATGCATAAACAGTTGGAAAAAGTTATGGAACTTTATTCTCTTACATAATAACTGCAGTGAGGTTATTGTATGCACAAAGATGGAAAGATTCAACACTACCCACAATGGAGGAATATTTCTTGAAGACGATGGTACTTTCTAATTGAATTATTTGATCAGAGAAAAGGCAATATTTATGTTAATGATGATTAACATAAATAATTCACTTATGATTTATGGTTTGGATAATTAGACAGGGTAAATTATAGAAAGAAGGGAGTTATGTTTTGACAACCACAGAGATAAAGCTCAGGGGTGGGTTGCTAACTGGTTTACTACTGTTTCGCTTGTGCTCATACACACGTGCAACACTTCTGTGCATGTGCAGAAGCATCCAGGCAGGTAGGCGGAGGCTCCCGCCACCGCCACTACCGTTTCGGCCAAACCGGGAGCAACCCACCTCTGATAAAGCTATAATTGTACTCATAACTGCTGTAAGATGTATTGAAAGTTATTGCATTCTGTCTTTTTTCTTTTTCTGATTTTCTTTTTTTTTCCCCATTCTTGCACATTTAGCTTTTTTTCATTTTTTTTCTTACTTTGTATGAAATGAGATTCATTTTAATCTTTTTTTATTATTTTTTTAAATGAAATAAAATAAAAATGTAAACATCTCCCAGCATACTTACTGCAGCAAAGCAAACGTGAAACATCTTACACCTAACCAGATTACCTAACATCAGATCTGAGGAATTCAAATATCTGGTTGAACAACTATTTTATTCTGGTATAAACCATGGACTATTATAACTAAGCATAATGTACTTGCCAATTTCCTTGCATCCACAGTTTAATTTGGGGACATTTAACTTCTACAAATCAAATCCAAATCAACAGAATACTCTCTTCTACTTACCTCCACCATACATAGCAGCCAACATAATTGAAGAAACCCATGCAATCTCACTGTATGATGTACCAAAGAAATCCTGGATTTCTTTGAAGAAGATTGCTATTCCTTTTGGGAAAGCATATGAAAATCCAATGGAAATGAACGCTCCAAACACCACTGCCCATCCCCATTGGCCATCTGGAGGGGTATAGGTCAAACCCGTGTCTGCTGGAGGTGGCATGGCAAGACTAAATTAAGTTCCCGTAAGCACTTTTCTGGAAACCCTGAAAAACAAAGTGCATACCCATAATAAGCTAATGACACATTCTCATAATTACTTTGGCATGTTTTCTTCTTTCTCTATGCACTGTTATTTCTGAACTCCTCTAATACACAAAACAATTGCTAGAGATGCCGAGAAATCTTATTTTCAAGAAAACATTTACTCTGCAGCTTGCATCTGACTAGAAGTATTGATGGATTGTTTCTGCCCTTCAGCTAACTTCATGTAACTTTTGGGATTCTCAAAATCATAAAAAATAATTTCCAAGAACATTAAGTGATTTATCTGTGGACTTTATCTCATGCTTTCAATGCAATATTGTATTTCTACTTACATCCCATATAATATCCCAAATGACTAACTTTATCACAGATTAGTTAGAATCCCTTCTTTTGACACAAATCACTGTTGTTGCTTTTCTTTCTCTCTTGGTGCCTTTAAGTCAGCACTGATCCCAGGTGACTCTCTGGACAAGTTCATTAAGTTTTCTTGGTATGGTTTTTCAGAAAACTTGACTTGCCATTTCTTTCTCCTTAAAGCTAAGTGTGATTGGCCCCAGATCATCCAGATGGTTTTGTGCCTAAAGTTGAACTAGAACTCCCAGTCTTCTGGTTCCTAGCCTGATGCCTTACTCACTCTGATTTTTAGAGCACATGAATCCTGCTTAAAGACTGAAACTTGTCCTATGAGTAAGTGCCAGGGATTTAAAACATAATCAGAACTGTATGAAAAATTAACCTGTGAGACCATTCTTAATATCAGGTGCCTGTATAACAACAATACAATAATAAGTAAGTGGCACAGAAATTATTCATCAGCAAACAAGTTAATAATTAGCTTTTAAAATAAATTGAAATGCTTGGACAAAAAGGAAGAAGGCAGGTCATTAGCTGTGATAATAACTCCCATAGGATGGCAACATTTGAAAAGTATTTGTATTAAGAAATAAGTAAATAATAAATTGTCGTGCCACTTCCTAACCATTAATGCTCTGATATTAACCATGTACTTGGTTAAACTGTACAATTCTGAAAACCTGGGCATAATTATGACTTTTTCCAATTAACCCTTCCACAGAAAATCTATTGATGTAACAAAAACGTCATCCATATCAAGAAGGAGGCCATCAGAATAGAAAGAAGCAAAAACCTCTTTGGCTGTGTGTCCTACTCTAAACTCTCTAAGGTGCTCCAGATAATTCAGTTTAATTTCCAGAGGTGGACTACAAATTTTTCACCTCTGCCAAAAAAAAAAAAAGAAAGAAAGAATTGTCGCTGACAATTCAATCTTCATGAGGGAGTAGTCTGAAAACAAGAACCAATTTAATAAGATCCCTCTCCTCCCAATTCAATACCATCTCACACAGTCTCAAATATTACTTCTATACTGTGTCCTGAAGAATATATCCAGCTGATGACAGGCTTATAATAAGGTAAGACATTGTCATGGTTGTCACCGTGGCCTGAAATCTCAGTTTGCGGCAGCATGGGAAATGAAATACTTTGGGATAAATCCCTTGCGGGTTTTTTTTAGCTCTGTCACATAGATTAATACGTGGGTTTACTTGATGATTTTCCACTTTGTTTCTTTGTGTTGGTATCTAATTAAAAACATTCAACATTCATTCGTCACTGGAAAGCTACGTAGATTTCTTATTGATGGGGGAAAAAACCCATCCCTGGCCCTCTTTTTGTATTGGACTGCATATTTATGCAGACAAAAAGATATTTATTCTATCCATTTAACTGCAGTAATTAAACTTGCTAGGTGTTTCTCCGAAAAGTCCATAATTTTACATCTTGCCCTCTGGAATAATGGAAAACATCATCTGACCTCTGATATCTTTTAGGTATTTGGAGAGTGACATATTCTTGTCATCTCAATTTCTTCAATTTTTCTTCATGGGCCTTAGTTTCTAAACCTCTCATTCTCCTTTCCAATCTTCCCCAAGTTTCTTTCAGTGTACCTTACCTCTTAGGATATTAGCTATCTCCCACAGGTTTGTGCAATCTGGAAATTTAATAAACATTTGTTCTACTTAACTCAAGTATTAACAAAATGGTAAAGAGTATGGGGCTAAACCTTGTAATACTCCACTTGAAGTATTAAAAACTGAAGAAGCTTCTTGGATGAGAAGCGAAATGTCTTCAAGGAAAAAACAAAAAAGGCCAATTGCCACTTGATAATTCTCTAGGATTTGGCAAGTATTTTTTAATTAGAATTTTCAATCCAGTTATGCATCCACTTAATGATCATGCTATCCAGCCCACACAAATTGATTTATTATTATAAGAATTTTTTTTCTATTGAACAACCCCAGTTTGCTCTACATGTTTTCTCGCTCATACACTGTATCTTGTTATATCTAACCATCTTATTTAATTGGGTTATCCAGGCTTCAGCTTCAAACATTTCTCACTTCTTTGACTATTGAAATAGGATCTATTCTATTTTTTTATCTCATTTGTAATAAACAAAAGGACTGCTTAAATAAGTGCAGGAAAAAATAGCCCAAATATATAAAGAAGCAGATAAACAAAACAATGGGACAATAAAAAAAAAATCTTTGAATTGTTAAGTTTAGTGAAAAAAATCATTGATATTATTTTGCATGGTCTAGGTTTGAAAATTGGGCTGAGTGACTCTAGGATTAATGCTTTGATTCTTTCTCATTTATAACATATTTGAACCCAAGAGATGCAAGGAATTATTCATTCACACATGATTTTGCTCAAGTACTAAAGACTGTCCTGAAAAAGAAAAGTCCCTCTCTCTAGATTTCTATGGAGATTCTCAATCATGCAGGTCATGGCTGTCCCAAATGTATTTTTCAAAAGGCAACTGTACCTTCTTTGTTTTTTGAAGATGATTTGCTCCTGATCTAAAAACTGAAGAAGCTTCTTGGATGAGAAGTGAAATGTCTTCAAGGAAAAAAAACAAAGAAAGTCCAATTGCCTTTTGAAAAACTCCTTTGGGATTCCTCATTGGGTGGAAATTGGAGGATGTACCTCTTTTATACTCTACTTCGATCTACTTGTCCTTATTTATTTATTGGATACAGAATTGCCAACTCTGTTTGGGATTCATGAAATCTTGCAAAAATCAGAACGTGCTCTGATGATGTCATTATTCAAAGCAATAAAACATCATGGTAAGCATGAAGACTAAAATAATGTCTACAAAGAACTAATCAATATAACAAAGAACTGTACAAATAATTAGACTCAGTAATTAAACAATTTTAACTCAATTACACAAGAGAACAACTCATCAATTGCAATATTCAAGCTTCAAAGCTCTTCAGAATAATTTAGTCTTTTCTAGAAGGGAATCACAGGGGCACAAGTCTAATATTTATAAGGATGCTGTTCCATAAATCAGGAGCCAAAACCAAAGCGCATCTTCTCCTGGTTTAGTTTCTACACACACGCACGCATGCACGTACGTCTTCTAGGGCTGTTATGGTCCAATGGTTAGAATGCAGTATTGCAGGCTAATTCTATCGACTGCCAGGATTCGATTCTCACTGGCTCAAGGTTGACTCAGCCATCCATCCTTCCAAAATCAGTAAAATGAGGACCCGGACTCTGTAAACTGCTTAGAAAGAGCTCTAAAGCTCTGCAAAGTGGTATATAAGTCTAAGTGCTATTGCTATTCTAGTAATTTGGAAACCCATACCACCTTCTTCAGCGATGACCGTTGATGGTTAAAGAAGACAGCTGTAAAGTTATGGGAAAGGATATAGAATTTTTATTTATCTGTTAAATTTATTTGCTGCCCATCCCAACATAAGGAGATTCTTTATAGGTCTTACCTACCCCCACCCCCTTTTGGTACTTGTTTGATTTTCTTGAAGTATTAGATTAAAAATGATGATTGCCTTACAAAAATATTGTACAAACTAAGTTTTCCTGCTTTTTAAAACCTGGTTAAGAGCATAGGCATCCACTTCTAATTACCTTGATGAAAAAATGATGACACCAGAGACAAACTCAAAAATTACAAGCTTTGCTCCACAATGACATGATACACTTCCACAAATTGTCCTCCTGCTCTCAGTTTGGATGCTGAACTCTCACTATATTTTGAGGTCACTTTTAGTTGGATGTTTGGGGCTTTTTTAATGCAACAATTCATTTCAAAGGACGTGGCTAGAAGAACATACATTTTAGGTAAATAGAAGGTCTATTATCTCAATGGTAAAACATTTGTCAAGTTTTAGGGTACTGGGTGTACTGTGGTCATGATGCTTTCAGGGAGTCTATAGAAAGTAATTCCACATTTCTACTGGCATCAAAATAGCTTATGTCAACTACCAACGATGACAACAAAATGCTATTAATTAACTTCAGAATCGGTTATTACTTAACACCCAAAGGCTGTGTTAAAACTAGTTCTGAGCCTCTAGGCAACTGCTCCCGAACAAAGGGAACTGGCCAAAGATGCAATTCAAGCCGAAACCTGATGCAATCAATTGGTGTTTTTCCCAAGGGCTGCTTCTATTGCTTCTTTCTTCATACTGGTATCTAAACATTGGTGCAAATTTCAACCAAGGAAAATGACATGTGAGCTGAATATCATTGTAAATATTCATGTTTAAAGAAGTGTTTGGATTTTCATGCAGTTTCCGCATGTTATTTGTTATTTAAATATAAGTAACTGGATAGTAAGACACAACAGCTAGTGACTGATCACAACACAAAATTAATCAAAGTAGGGCCTGCATACTTCTTGGATGGGAGACCACCAGGAAAAAGCCTTGTGGAGCAGAATGGGAAGTTGAAAAAAAGCATCCTAGAGCAGTGGTTCTCAACCTTCCCAATGCCGCGACCCTTTAATACAGTTCCTCATGTTGTGGTG